TTTCGTAAAAGCACTATATGAGTATTCAATTTTATTTCTTTCCATCTTTTTAAAAAGACATTGGTGTTCTGGTTTGCCATATTTAGTAGGGGCTGGAAGTAAAAACTATGCTTTGCCCTATGATGCAAAATTTCGCATCTTTACAACAGTATCATCGTATTCTGCTTACTGCAGTGATTTTGCAAACGTAAGTTTGAGATCTTTCTTATTTTCAAAGGAGGCAGATGTTGTTCACTTTGTTACTGTAAATACCTTGTATCAAGAGCAGCCTCTGCACAAAACCCTCCCGCCATCCCAGCACCTGATGTTTTTGGTGGACTACGGCCAGGTTCACGCTGCACAGCCGGCCTGTTTCGGTGCCAAGGTCTCGGGCTAGGCGAGACAGGCCAGGCTGCATCCGCAGCTCCTAGAAATCACGAAGCAGCAAACCTGCCCAATGCGGGTATTTCGCTCCAGTGATAGTCTGTATCCTGTGTCAAAATTTCGTATCAAAGGGAATTCTTTCAGGTAGCCTTTTTAGCCACCAGCAAAGCATTTATTCCCTGTGTTCTCTGCACAGTTGCTGTGGCCATGCTCAGTCACCTGCTGGTTTCTAAACTCAGCCAGTATTTTTATAGGCTATTTTCTCTCTTTGCTTATAAGTGCTTTGGTAGTCATCTGAAGAGGTGTCAAGCAGCAGGTGAATAGCAACTGGTTAAAAACTACTCTATGTGTTGTCTGAAAGACAGCCTGACTCAGAGAAATGCACAGCGAAAGCGGATTGCAACACCTAACAAGGGGCAGTAAACTGGACTTGCCTCTGTCTATCCCATTCCAACTGCAGCAAGGAAATAAGCACGGGCCGGGCTGGCACTGGTCCTGATTCCGGACAACACGCAGGTTTCCGAAACCGCGAGTCACGCCGCATAACATTCATGATCACATACAGAGCAGACATCTCTGCGTGCTGTTGTGCAGAAAGGCAGGGAACAGAGAGGCAAGCATTAGACTTCAGGACGGTATTCCCTGTGATGTGCATCCTTGATGGCGGTGGGGAGGAGTCTGACATCACCAGAGAGGTTACGTTGATCTGTTCCCCTCACCTCTGGAACACAGCACAGCCACAGAGAATCTGGAGAAGCTCTGCCAGGCTGTCCTGGCCCACGCTTCCTCTTACGTGATCTTCCTTGCTAGGCTGACCTTTTTTAGTCATTATTAATTAACAATATTCCCGTGGTTCGGAGAACAAGTGTTTCCAGTAGTCAGGATTATGATTCCTCAACTGACAATATTTCATTTTATCGCCCCTCTGGCTTGTACTGTGTTGAGCAGTAGTAATGATTTGCCTGCTGCTTGTTGCTGGTTGATCTCCAGCTGCTAAAAGCTTGCTCAGGGTGACCAGCCTGCAGATTCGTGCACGGAGCAGTGAGCGCGGAAGGGCCCAGCTACCGCCAGGCCAGCCACAACCGTTTAGGCTCATTGACTTGCAGTCAGTGACGGTGTTTGTGCTGCGGAAGGTACGTCCAGCAGGACCTTCAGACCACACAGGCCTTTGGACAGCCCTCAGATGGTTTCCATACTAAAGAAGAAATCAACATTAGTTGGGCCGCGAAATCCATACGCTACATGATGAAGCAACATGATCCTAACTCGGGCTCGATGTTTCCGAGATGAATGATTTTCCTTCCTGTCCTCGCGCAACGCTGCAAGCCCTCTGCAGAGCGGCCAGCAGCGCGTATAATGGATTCCAGACTTCTTCAGTTATAATTATGTTATGGCTATACATGGTCCTCTTTGTCTCAACTAAATAATAAAGCGATCTGCTACGACAAAATCTTTAAACATCTTGGGGATGGTTCTACCCACTGTACGCTATGCCTTGCTTGATTTTTCTCCCTGATGTATCTGTTTCAGCCATTGGTTTCATTGCCAATTCAGAGCATTTAAACTAGAACAAGACAAGAAATGATAAAAAAAAAAAAAACCTTACATTTTTTTTTTTTCCTCCAGGAAGATCCCAAACTGCTTTACAAACTAGAGGGTAATCCTGCCATCTTTCTTGGGATAGTTTCTCACACTGTCAGTTCTCTGCAGTAAGGATACCTAAGGTCCTCGGTGTTGCTGAGATTACTGATGTGCAAGCATCACTCTCCTATTATCACCATGTAGTGCCTTCTAGAACGGGCATCTTTTCTAATTGTATTAGGATGAATGCAGCACAGGAAGCTAATAACTTCAGCAACAGCTGGCACCATGAAAACTTGCAAACTGTTTTGGAAAATGATTTTAACAGTATTTTTTATGCCCTGGGATATATGCATATCTCACAGGATTAAACAATCTATTTTGTATCTTCAAAAAGCTCATCTGTAAACAGGAACTGTTCTTATGGCACGGTATCACCAATATATACACACAGAAGTGTCTCTGTGGGGTTCTAAAGAAAAATGCTTATTTTCTCTATGGAGGGGAAAGCTGGGAGAAGTTTAGGACACATACAAAACGTCAATACAAACTGAAAAGCTCATTTTCATAGACTGGCAATCTGCTGCCACCAAAGCATCTAAGAGGTTGGTGTCATCATCTAGAATAATGGAAATTCAGGTATAAAATACAAAAAGATATTAACAGAGTAGGCAATTTTAAAACCAGTGATGGAAATTACAGATCCAGTAACTCCATTGCACTTCTTCACTGATAGTACGATTACGTTTTGAGAAGACACTGCTGAGGTCATTCATCAGATACAGACTGCAGCAGAACGGGACTCTGAAACTAAGCTTAATTTCTATGATGTGGCACAATTACCATATTTTCATGTATATAACCTGCAGATTATCTAACAGAGAAATAAATAGCCAGACAACCTCCTCTTACTCCCCACTGTCTTAGCAATTGCTGTAGTACACCAGCCTGTCATTTTTGAGGGTGCTGTTTACTCAAAAACGTCTTTCACATGCTCAACTTGCCTGTGATCACCAGTGCCTGCTACCTTTCCCTTGCTATTTTTTTATGTCTCCAACTCAGACAGAGTCATCTGTGTGCTTAGTTAAGGGGTTGTGAGTTTCAAAAGGTGCAGGTTATAAGTTTGAAAATATGGCATCTCTTGTAGTGTTTTACATGCTGAAAGACAAGGGATAAGTATGGTTTTGCTACAGAAACATCCACTTATTTCTTCCCTTGAGCAATGAAAGGATTAGGGAAAAAAGAAACAGTTTTGTGGGAACTGAGGGGAGCACAGACAGACGGCTCACGGGGGAAGGGGTGAGGGTTACTGGAGTGACTTATCAATGCTCATCTCCTGCAAACACAGGAGAAGGAGCATATGGAATACGCTCACCTGATCCTAACATACATTCCCCGCTTAACGCTTCGAAAAAAGCAAAGAAACAGAACAACGAAAGTCAGTAATGAAAAGTGACCAAGAATACTTGAAGAATTATTGATCATTTTCTTCTAATTTGTAGTTGTATGGCAGACCTACCAAGTGATATAACCAGGAAATTTTTTTTTATATATATGTGTACATATATTCATGCTGTCACTACATTTTTATGTAATGGGCACACACACGTGTACTAAGCTAGAATACAATTATTGTACTACAAATGTTGGTCTTAACCTCTATGGCAGTTCTGACTGAAGACTGGGAAATCGATGTGCAAAAAAGCCGAAGGAATGAGAAGACGAAAAAAGGAGAGAAGAGGACATGAAAAGTAGAGTGCTTATAACTAAGCCCAAGCCAGTCTTTATCTTAAGCAGCGCTGTCAGGGTCTTCTGTTTGGACAAGGCCTGCTAGAAGGATCCTTCAAGTCTGATCTGCGCTGGGTACATCCAGTACCAGCGACTGTGCCAAACGACCTCCTCTTTCACTGATCCTTGCCCTTGGTCGAACTATCGCTACCTTTTCTATTACAAAAAATCTTCAACCCTATTTGCTCTAGATTTACACTTAAAATCAAAGAGCAAGTTATGAAATAAAAGGACTACTGCTGTCATCATCCCATCTGCACCACAGTGCTACCCAGAGGTTTCCGACCAAGACCAACGCTGTGGCTTTGCACGTTCTACAGCTTTAGGAACCGCTGTCATCTTTGTCACCCTGCTCGTTCTTGGATCACTTTATTTGGCCGAAACTCCGCACTCAGTTTTCTGGAACACTTCTACAGCACACTGGTGACTCTGTACCCTCTCTGCCTCCTTCCAAATGTTCTCTTGCCAAGATTAAAGTCCCTGCCTCTCTTGACACCTTACTCAGAGCATTGTTTTACTCAGCTCTCTTGCTTTGCTTCTGTTCTCTTTGGTAAAAACAATCCAAACTCATTCAATGTCGTTTTGTCCCATGGCTGTCAGTGTTTAGTTTCTTCTATCTACACCGCATGTTCTGCCTGCTCCTGAAGTACCTGGCTCCCACTTGGTCTGGGTTTTTTAGGGGGGGGGAGGTGGTGGTTTGGTTTTGTAGCATTTAACTTTACAGTAGCCTACTTGTGTCACACTGTCAAATGAGATCAAGCTATGCTTTTTTGGCTATGCATATAAAAAAAATAACCTGGTTTTTATGTTGTTTCTGCGTCTCATGCCACAAATAGTGCGGATTTGTGACATCTCACGTTGAAGCTATTTCAGTGTTGCTATTTACGCAATCTTTTAAAACCAGACCAACAGATACATAGACATACGTAGCAATTAGTCTTCAACACCAAATTAAAACTGATTTTATAATAATCCATGTAGTACCAAGATTTATAGTTCATTTGTACCACAGAGTAGTAAAACTATTTAGCACTGAAAAATGGCAGCACCTATTTCTCTGAGAACAGCATTAAAACATGACTTAATATATTCTAGAGTAAAAAATCACTCCTAAGCAGTAATTCTGTAAGACCGTTCATAATATAAAGAAATAGGTGCTAGAAGTGGCGCCGTTCAGCCTGAATTTGCAGGCACTTCCAAATACAGGTGACTGTTCACACTATCAAACAAGAGCGTCAAAAAATATATCACAATATGGCTTCACTTACCAGGCAGATGTACTCTGAAAAGACATCAGGGGTGGGCTTAAAGCATCTCCTTTTAACGTGTGCACTGTCTGTGATGTCTGAGGCTGCGGCGGGGTTTGAGGCTGTGTCTCTGGCCGAGGCTGTGCCTGTACTTGGCCTGGATCCTGAGCAGGGTTAATCCATCGGCTCTGGCCCTGTGTCATCCACTTTCCCTGGATTCCCCACCGTGCCAGGTAAAATTTGCAAATATCATAGTTCATTGACGAATAATACAAAAGGTCCAGTACCAGCAAGATCACCACAAAAAAGCCATAGATCCACACTCCTAACAGTGCACTGTAGTTGCTGGGAAAGAAAAAAGGGAAAACAAAAAAGTTATCTCGCGTATCAGTAATGGTCAGCGCGTTAGGTTATCACCGTGGTTTCAGTAATTATATATAAATATAATATATAGGTGAATGAAACAAAAATTTTGTTCTAAAGCATGTGTCCTTAAAACTTCTTTCTTGTTTCAATCTAAATACTGTTCTATGCATGACATGGGAGGTTTTTAGAAACTAAGGTTCCCTGTCTTACAAACATTTTTATTTCTCCCTCTCACCTGGGTATTTATACCAGCACATATATTTGGTGTACAATTAGCTTCAATGCTTGAAGTGAGATCACTGATACACACATGGCTGATGGGTCATATGTCTTACTCTGGAAGTTCTCACTCCCAGAGAGTCACCCTACTGAAAGTGGCAGGGCATTTATGAGGGTGAGTGTTCACCACATGAAAATACGCTGTACTACTGAAAACACTCACTGATGACACGCATTATAAACCACTTGTCTGAAGAAGTGTTCAATGTGCTTGGAAGAAGTGTTCAGTGTGCTTGGATTTGTTCTGACTTTAATAATTACTCATTGCTGGGTACAGAAGATACTAGTAGAATTACAGGCTTTCAAGAACAACCGCGAAAGATTCCTTAGTTTGCTGGTAATAAATTTAGGAAGGAATAACACTGACAAAATCATAGTACACAATGCATTCCACAGGAAGGAAAATGCAGACTACATTTATATGCATATTTTGGTGTAGTTATAATGCGTATAGATAGGTAAAGGGCATGAAAATTATCAGCTGCTGACACTGTGCACAGAGCTATGACAGGTAACTAAACATATTAAAAGGGGAGGAAGAAAGCAGGAAAAGGTATAAGGGGTTGAGAACCTAGAGATCAAACGGGAAGAAGTGCTAAAGCTCTGCTGGAGATGCAATATTATTAAAAGAAAAATAACTGCCGGATGTAAATGCAGTTTGGATTGGAAACCATGTGAGTGGGGAGGATGAGGTCAGACCAGAGGGAAGAAATGGGTAAGAAGGAGGTTGTTTGGCGTACAGCGAAGAAGGCGAATCTAGCCCTATGAGCTCATATGGAAGTATGTGTGCCAGACACGGCAAGAACCAGAGCAATCAGAAGGGGTACTCGTAAAAAATGTCACTAGGAAGACAGTCCTGGAGAAAAATTGTGTCGATGTAATCGGTGGGCAGCCCACATCTGTGTGAACATGAAGTCACGTGAATAAAAACGAACACGCGCTCAACCACGCTCTCCTTCACAGACATCCAGAGGAACATCAAGGGAACTGTATTGTATCAGAACAGTGATCAGAACGGGAGTGCTGTGAGAAGAAAACACGCTGAGGAGACATATTATGGTGCAAGCCAGAAAGATATTTTGACATTTTGAAAACATGTCCCAAGCCTTTTTGGATGTAAAGCATTTCAAGTCTCTGCTTCGAACTTCCATTTAAACTTTTATATGACTCTTTCATTTTACGCCTTAAAAAAATCAGGATCTGAAACATTAAATCAGGTAAGAAATCAGAATTTTAATTTCTGTGTTGCTGCCTGTCAGCACTTAAGGAGACTGATTTTCATCTCCAGGGAATGATTTTTCCACTACACAGATATAAAGCGCTTAGATTAAATGAGGCTCCATAGCAAATAACTGTAAGCCATAAGAGGAAGGCCAGAGCTGTCAGTGGGCCCCTTTCTGTGTGACTTCAGGATTACGCAAGCTGAGGATTTGGAAAAAAAAAAAATACAGCAAATTTCCAGGAGGATTGGAAGTGGACAAAATATAGTGCTTCTGAAAATTGTTAAATCCAGAGTCTCTGCCTCTACTAAAGACTTACACATGCATGCTGAACTTCACACAACAGTGGGCAGACCTTCATAGTGCATTAAAATCTTGGCAGTCCAGGCACTTGAAAGTATAACAGGATCTGCTTAATCCAGGCTTCTCAGCGGTGCTACTCTTGACTTGCAGTGGATTTATTCCTATTGGGCTAACCTCTTATATTTTCTGCTAATATAAATTAAAGGGAAAGCTGCAGAAGTCACGAAGAAATCTACTGTAACAAATCCTGTTCTTCGTTACTAATGCCAATTGGATCCATTCTACAAATAAGTGAGCTGTATCTGATCCATAGTAAGAACAGAGATATTAGAAAACACGTTGTTTCTGTTTTGGCAACAATGTGAGAAGCAGGAACAATTCTTAGAGTTAACTCAAAAAATTTGTTTGTATTTTAGGTATTCAGTTTCACTCATCAAAATTTTGGTTAGTGAAAATTAGAGCTATTTTGAGTGTTCCAATTTAAAGCAACGATTTATTAATCATGCCATATGTGAGTTACCCATCTGCTCCTTCTAAACAACATCTGTTTCTCACAAGTACAAAAATGAAAGACTGTTTTATTTTAATTAACAGACAGTGGGACAACAGCACTATCAAAAGGGCCTTGTGAAAAATCACAAGCAAAATTAAGAAGCGGTATGTTTTGTACACAGAGGGAAATGCCACACTTTCATGTTTTTCCATTTCTCAAACTATTAAGATGGTAGAAAATATTAATTTTGCTGATGGCTATTAATGATAGCAAAAATTAAAACTTCCCTACAAATTAAGTCTTAATTAGAAAAGAAATGATGTTACTTACACTGAATAACAGTAAGGCCAGAGACACAGAAAAGAACTGGGAATAAAAAAACTCCTAGGACTTGCTCTAATTTCACTGAACAACTGAATCGTAAAAGTTTCATATTGCAATCTGATTTTCCTGTACTTCTGTGCAGAAGTTTCATTTCAATTAAAAATAAAGTGTGAACAGAGTCCAAATTTACCAAGATTCAAATTAGAGGGGTTTGTTCCTTCACAGGGACGATAAAGTGTACGAAGTTCTTTTGGTGGGTGGTAGCTCCTCTCCCTTTCCGCAGCGGGAAAGCTTGCCCTCCCCTGCTAGTGTTCCTACCCCTCCCAATCAGTCATTTTGGAGGTTTCTGCTGAGGTTCAACACCAGGTTTAGCAATATAGCACTGAAAATCACTTCTAAAGCCGTGCTGCCCAGTCCTGTGCTGCTACTGGCCCAGGAATGCAAAAGCCAAATCTAGAGTAGAAGTGACAAGACAACTTCCTTTTAGCTTCTCTGTGAAACAGGGAAATTCATGGGCCTATCAAAAAAGCTCAGAAGCTCGTTATTTTAAGATACTTTGCCTTTTATAGAAATATGATGTATATATGGTATCGCACTGATGCAGAGCCCACTTGTGTAAATGGAAATATTTGCTCTAACTCTAGAGAGCCTTGAATTGGGCTTTCTGAGAACAATAAATACTTTCACCATGTATCTCCTCCTCTTCCATCTACAGAACCTTACTCAAATTTCTCTAACACCCCTACACACAAATGAGGAGACAGGTTCTTTTATTCTTGTTCTTGCCCGTGTGATTCCCTCCATCTAATTCATGAACTTCTTGAGACAGATGACAAACAGGTTAGGACCAGGCTGTATTTATTTTAGAAAAAAATTTATGTGCAGCACATGAACACATTCATTTGGGAATTCAGGCTTAAAAAAACCCAACAAATCAAAACAATTGTGAGCAGAATTCTACAGCTGCAGAGTTTAAAAGTGGGCAGATGGCCATGGAAACTGGTTTTTTCCTTATTCTCCTTAAACGGGGCCGTTACTTGCAGTAGTAACACTTTTTAAGTGTTGCCCCAAGGAAACGCAAGCTTACACCCTAGCAAATGCCTTTGTACTTCTAACATCAACGAAATCAATGCAGTTTTTGCATGTACACTTTAAATGTGATTTTTTTTTTTTCCTTCTTTTGTTTCTGCTGTTATCTCAAGGCCGTTGCCCAATCCTGTGTTTTCCTGGAGAATCTGTTACTGTAGTACCTAACAGGGCTTCCCAGCTAAATCACATCTTTTTGCAACAGTTGGTAGTGGGATTGGTTTTTTTTTTTCTTTCTTTCTTTCTTGTAAAGATGACTTTCTGGGAGATATTTGAGTAAATGCCAGCTCTGCAGGGGACATGCTGTACAGGGAGAAAGACTGTGCTATTCTCTCCTCACACTGCTTCTGGTGTAATGTTGTAATGTGGTGTGCGAAAGCCATTCGACCCTGAGAAACTGGAACCAGAGAGAAGGAAAAACATGGATGCGTTACAGACTGCCATAACACTGTTCTAGGATCAGATTAAGGAACGCTGGCATGGTAGTACTGCTGATAATCCACCAAAATATGCATAGTAGAAAATCTGAAAGAGTATGAATACTAGATTCAAGTGAATAGCATCTTTAAGAATAGTTCAACAACTTACTAGACAAAGTTTTATAGAAAAATACTTTGGATGGCAGAACTTTTCTTGTCTGTTAGACATCACTGGTATTTCTATATTTAGTATTAAATGAATTATTCACACACAAAAATATTAGACTTCATCTGCATGATCACAAAGATATAATAGCCCAGTATTCTGCACTTATAAAAACACAGAAATCTTTAGTATAGTAATGGAAAAAATGTAAATAAACCTGGCTGTAGTTACACTGTCTGACTGTAGAAGACAAACGTGGTTTTTCAGCTGTGCCACGACAAAGAAGTTACAAGTCACCTCATTATTTTTTTTTCCCTCAACTGCGTTATAAAACAAGAAATTTGGTTTGATGATCACAAGACTGGCTAAGGGGAAAAATAAACCAAATAATAATACTGAAATAAACTAGAAAATAATATTGAATCATTCTTCCCTGAAAACTATGATCATTTTTTTCAGTTCATTGCTATGCCCATATCCTAAATCATTCTCCTCAGCTACAGTACAATAGATTGCATCAGATTTTTTTTCAGTGGTGTGTGAAATTAGCTCTAAACAAAGAGCTGACTTTGTCACTGTAAAGTCAACCTTGGACGTATCAGAATCCACGTAAATTATCGTCTATGTTAAATAAAGTCATAGTGTATTAAGTAAGATGCTTTTCACAATGTTTTTAATGTAGGCATCTAGGCTTCCTCTCCTCCTGCCCCTCCACAGCATACTGAAACTATCAGGAAGTTTTCTCCCAGTCTCGGTGAGCTCAGGGTGAGGAGACCTCTCCCCCTCTGTCTCACCGCACTGGTGGAGTTTCATTTTCCTGGCCCTGACTGATTTATCACAAGTGATGTTTCAGGACGTTACAAAAAGACAATATTGGTTCCACTCTTGCACTTCTCTAAGTTACACCCCCAGAAACTTTTAATTGTATTTAGCATTATTTCACAGACTGTTGCAAAAGATCACTACACAGCTAATGCCCCCAGCAAATTCTGCACTGAAGACATATGCAGTAAATAGTCTGCAGGTGGTTCTCAACCATGAATTTAACCTACAAAGATTACACAGGTAGGTCTTTCTCCATCACAACTGAATGAGGTGGCTTTTTAAAAAAAAATAATTTCTAAATGAAAACTAATATAATACTTACACTATGCTCTAAATATTTTTATTAAAATAAATACTGTAGTTCATGGATACCGAAGTACCTCTTTCCTATTGAGGAACTGCTCACACACAACAATTCTATACGATGAACAGCCCTATATGCATTTCTGAGGGTGTCTGTGCATCTGTGTGTACGTGTGCAGGTGTGAGCGGGCACGCGAACAGAGGACGCAGGATGCAAAGAAACGTTCTACATCCCAGGGCATATGGTGCAATTAGACTGCAGCTGTTCCTCTGTGCATGCTGTGTCCAGTGCTGGGCTCCCCAGTTCAAGGAAGATGAGGAGCTACTGGAGAGAGTCCAGCGCAGGGCTGCGAGGATGAGGAGGGGACTGGAGCATCTCTCCTACGAGGAGAGGCTGAGGGAGCTGGGCTTGTTCAGCCTGGAGAAGAGAAGGCTGAGAGGGGACCTTAGAAATGCCTCTAAATATCTGCAGGGTGGGGGTCAAGATCTACAAAGATCTACCTGCTACTTCATAGTTCTTTAGGAAAAAAGTTCCTGACGTTGATGTTGGAGGATAGGCCCCAGCAGTATATGGAAGCATCCCAGGTACCAGACAAGGAGACGGCACAACGCTGGCACGTAACCAAATACGTTCTGTTCCCCAAGGTCAGGGATTACAAGAGATTTATGTTCAGAACATCAAATATTCACAATAGTGATAAGGGTTGACAGGGAAGATGTCAGCTCACTCCCTCTCTGCCCCACAGAGGGCTTTGGGGTTTATGTTTACTCACACACATCTAAACACTTTGGGTCAGACTGGGGTCAGGGGAGAGACATTGGTAACTTTTACACGTAACTTTATATTCCTTACATTTAAATTCAACTTTTACATATATGCTTTCCTAGCAATGTTTATAACCCATGTCAAAGCAATGAAAGCAAAGCTAAAATATCCTTTGTTTTAGGAGTTTTGTAACAGCAAAAAACTTTCAGTAATGATTCTCGGTATGTGCAATTATTCTAATTGCTTCCATCATTAAGCACACCTCAGACTATGTTATTAGATCAGGAACAGTTTGGTGAAGAGTACTTTAAAACTCATTTACTTACTTATGCATATATCCATCTGCGTTCCCTGTTAAGTTCATCTGCATAACAGTCTGAAATTCTGTCTCATTGCAGCAGTATTTAAATACTGTGTTGTTATGGTGACAGCAAAAGATGTAGGATTTATTGTCAGAAAGACGGGGGCAGTGAAAACCAAAGTGATAGCGACCTTTGTAGTCCGTATATGGCTCACAGACCCGAAAATGTGCAGACAACACTGAAAAACAAAGAACAACATTGGCTTTGTGAGTCACTTGTGTTCTCTGTATGTTATGAGCTATAACTTTCCATTGGTTAAGCTTAAACAATTGTTGATTTCTGAAAAACGTTAATATTTCAGAACTTTCAACATCAAAACATTTAGTAATATAAGATTACAATATTTAGCCTCTCGTTGTTGTATTTTGATTTTTCGTGTTACTATGTTTCTGATTACTATTATTATTTTTTTTTTTCAGGGAAGAGAAGAAACACCCTCCATGCCAAGAAGAACAAAAATATTTAGGGAAACGTTTTTATACTGCTGTTCTAAGTATGTGGCTGTCCATAAAGACCCAGCAATGCTCACATTTGCTTCTCCTGGGATGACATCACAGGAACAAAAAGCCTCTGTAAAATCTGCAATAAAAGTTTGATGGCACTTGATTTCCAGTCACTGTTCTTGACAGAAAATATCTTCGTTACTCTAAAGGTCATTTTTGATATGGATTATTCTGCCAGAAACAGTAATCACAAAACAGTACAACAGATCCGAACAAATCCAAATTTGTAGATAGACGGAACTGACAGAAATATGGCTATTCCTGCGAGTTCTTACATTTCTCCTTTATTAAATTCTCATGTAAAGTGTTTATTACATCTCTGAGAACATTTTTTACAGGAATACGTCACACTGATTTCACCATCACTTTTCCTGGGGGAAAAAAAAAAAGAAAAAGGAAAAGCAATGCTCTCCATACGCGTCCTCTGAGCGCAGAGCTGACGCTGGCTGTCGTGTGGCGACAGGCACACTCCGATCCATCTCCACGGGAAGACCGTGTGCAGCTGCAAGCTCTCTGACCACGCTCTAAGCCCACCGGCTGCACGCAGCTCTGAGCTGGAAGCTGTGCAGTCACCTGCGTTTCCCTGAGCTCAGCAACCGCACAGCGGCGCAGGGCAGAGATCCCTTCCAGTACGGCCACCAGCAACGACACACGACTTGCTGGCTGATCTGAAAAGTCTTGTAATAGACGATATTGGGCTCCACATACTGCCAATGTTTTAATTGATCTGTACTTTGTGTTTTGCTAGGCCTGAT